GAGAGTTAGGTAATTTACCGAACGACCAAAAAGATTTCGGGTAATGAGCAGGTGTCCCAGAAATTATGATAATAGCTTGTAACTACAAATTTTTTAATAATATGGTCGGCCAGGTCGAACGGGCTGAGTAATTTTGTCGGCTGAGCTGGCCCAAGCGTTTGTCATCGGCACGTATTACTACTACTGTCTGGACTTCCTTCCTCCATGGATTTATCCTTTTTAATACCAACTTCATTACCATTCATTGATGCTATATGCCAGATTTTAATAAAAGCTATGCCATGTCTCAATAATTTTATTGAAACCGCTTCTATAAAAGAATTCAGTATAGGGATGAGTTCAGTTACGAGTGGTTGCAATTATTTTTAGCCAATTTGCTAAATACTGAGATGATTTTTTATTTGAGCTTTTAATTAAAGTTCATCTTATAAGTGAAAAGAACAATACCTTCTCTAGAACTCAGAATTTTAAATTTGCTAACATAATTGATCGCAATAATTAGCCTAAATTATACCTTCATCCTCACTCTAACTCTAAAACTGTCCTAACGCTAACACCTAAAAGCCAATCAGATTTCAAGATTAGGTGTGGCGTATAACAAACGCAAAAAAATCAAACCAAAAAATCGCTTATAACTCAACATTTTATCTATGAAACTACCTTCTGCGCACTAACAAAAGGTTTTTTAGCAAAGCTTAACCTTAATCTAACAGCGAATTTTTTTTAGCAAAATTTTGATTGGTAACGCTAGATCAGTTTAACTCAAACGCTAATTTAGGCCGGTTTTAATCTGAGTTAAGCCAAATAAATTTCACTGGCAAATCAGATTTCAAGGTGTCACGCAGAAGAAACGCAAAAGATCAAAACAAGCCTAAAATTGTTCATAACTCAACATTTTGACTATGAAATCACCTTCTGCGCACTAATAAAAAGTTTTCCTTACGAAATTTTGGTCCTAATAGAGGTCTTTCTGCCCTAATTTAATTCACCGACAAGTTCATTTCACTGACAGTCATTTTTATTATCACGTAATACAACTAGATTTCTAAACAGAATTAAAGAAAATTTTGCGTATAGTGAATAAAAATCGTTCAAAATTTAATACAGTATAATACTAATAGATACATAAAAATGCAAAATTAACAAAAAAAAAACCATCGCTAATTATGAATATACTAATTGTACGCCATGCTGAAGATACTAGCATCTTGCCAATAAAGTTTATAATATTGACATAATTTACATCTATCATACTACATCAAAGAACAAGCCATAAAGTTGTTAGGATTTCTTTAGCTTCTGAATATGACGAAACCAGTGTCGAGTAGCTTGTTACTATCGGATAAATTTGCGATAATGAAGCTGTGAATAGAATTCATCATCTTTGTATATGATCGTTTCAACTTTTCCTCTTAATTCAGAAAATTTTGACATGTCCTGTGTGTATTGGACAATAACTAGAGAATCGCATCCCGTTTTGTTGAGATCATTAATTAGAATATTAACCAACATTTCTGTATCGTTTTCTATAAGGTATTTCCTAAAGGCAGCAGAATAAATTTTATCAAACAGATACTTAAAATGAGTAGAAATAGTAGGCATCAATATTGACTCATTCCAGCCGATTAGGACGAGATGTTGTATCAATCTAAGAATAATTGTTGGGTAAACTGACATTCTAGAAATTAATTTGTCGAAAAGTTTTTTAACTAGATTGACTATTTCTTCGAGATGCGCTGTAAGTTCATTTTCATCACATCGAATTGAAGATAAATTAATTTTGAAGGGATTAAGATAGTTGAATAAATAACTCCGTGGAAGGCAGAATTCGGAATTTTTTAGTTGAGTTGCCAAAATCAGAGTAGTTGTGAGCTCCATGAGCGATGTAAGGTCACTGAATGCTTCAAATGAATTTATCATAACTGATTGATTATTTTCAACTATATAATCAATAAATCCTAATATGTTGTTAAAGGTGATATGAGTAGTATCTTTAGAATATATTGACAAAATAAATGATGAAAGTTTCTTCCCAATCGCTTCAGAATCTTCAATCATCTCAGAATCCTCACTCGCTTCAGAATCTTCAATTGTTTCAGAATCCTCAATCACCTCAGAATCCTCAATCGCTTGAGAATCCCCAATCTCCTCAGAATCTCCGATTTCCTCAGAATCCTCAATCACCTCAGAACCTCCAATCGCCTCAGAATTCTCAATTGTTTCAGAATCCCCAATCGATTCAGAATTGCATTTAATTTTTGAAACCTCATTACAGAACTCAGTCAATTTATCACTTTGCAGTTGTATTAAAATGAATAGGTATTTTAATATAATTGCAAAGTTGTTGACGTCATTGTATTTAAACCTAGTATATGTTTTGCTATTTATGATATTTTTAAATTTATCATACATTATTTCGTGAATTTCAGAAATCACTAAATCAGTTACCTCTGGACAACTTAGGTGTGAAGATTTATAGCGAAAATGATTTCTAATCAGTTTGCTCTCCCAAAATATTTGCAAAGCATAAAACCCTTTAAACTCATCGAAAAAATTGCATAAAACATCAATCCTTTTAACCATTTTAAACTCTTTTCTTATCGCATCTAATTGATGTATTGCAGTATACTGAAGAGATGCAAGTTTCAGACGTTCATATAAAGTTAATGGTGTTGGCTTTATATGATGTCTTTGTTTATCTTGACTTCGGCATACACTCGAAGATGCACATTCTCTGCATATTTCAAAAGCTATATCCGGAATCTTTTGCCCATCCTTGTCGATTTTTAGAATAAGCCTTTGGATATACAAAGAAAGAGTTTTCGATATCGCATAGTAAATGACATTCTTTTTATAGACTTTCCAATAATTGTCGATTAATTTTCCCTTTCCTAAACTGTACTTATTAATTATATGAAGAAGAGGATGGTTATAGGAAATTTGCCGATTATTTGGATTATTATTCACAGTGCTTATAGCAAAAATTTTTTCGTAATTTTCATGAATTCCCTCGATTACTTTCCCCTCTTTCAAATTCATTGTACCTAGAATACGATCAATTTGATTCTCCAAATTATTATCCACATCATCAACATTCTCAGCATCCACGGCAAAAATATTTTCGAGATTGTTTCCATTATTATCATGAAGAACCATAAAAGAAAGTGATATTTCATATAATCTCAGTAAACATTCTAACCTACAACGGTATTTGGAGTAAATATATTGCTGTGGAAGTTTCAGCCAGATGATTATTGCACGAAACTCTGCGGTTATATCTCTGCGATTCCTAAAATGTATAATGTACTCATATATTTGATCAAGGTCTTTATTTAAATAAGTTTTATACAGTTGTAACTCTTCTATTAAACTATTCCACTGTTGGGGCTTTTCTGATATGTCTTGCTGTGATTTTGCTTCATTAATAATATTAATTGCCTTTTTATGAAGCCTATTTAACTCATCAAGAACATTAGAATCCATGGTATCTTTAATCACATTGAGTGCATTTATCCTACATAGATATAAAAGACATTGTAATGATTCGGTAAAAGTATCATAACTTTTAATAGTATTTATAAACATATTAGCAGCTTCTTCGAATTTTCCACGTGATTGCAGTTCTTTAGCTTCCATAATCTCTACTTCTTGTGCATATTCCATAATAAGTTTGTCACGTTTATCCTGCGTTTCAATAATCAAAAGAATTCTTTTGGACATCTCTTCATTTTTTGCTTGACGATAATGAAAATAGACGATTTTGATAACTTGATCAAGTTTATCACTATTAATTTCTTTCTTTTTCCTTAATATAAAAATTTAAATGTGCATCAGTTATGTTATACTTAAACTAAACCAATTATGTAAGTTATATTAAGATAATGGTTTACTCTACCTCTCCATTAAATCGATTGCTTTTTTATAAAATTTACCATTCTTATAGACAAGAATAGCTTCAGTGTACTTATTTGCCTTTTCAAAGCATTCGCCAGTTTTCTCTAAATTATTGTTCTTATAATAGCAACGTGCAGCATGTTCGTATTCTTTTAATTTAGTGTAAATATCAATTGCTTCTTCATACATTTCACCTTCCTAAAAAGATTTTACGCTTAGTTTGATTATCTTAGTTTAATTACCTATAAATAAAATTATCCATTCTTTTACCTCATAACATAAAGCTTCCTGAAACGGATCTAAGCATGTCTTGAAAGCTTGAGCTGCACGTGTAAAATTTTTCTTTTTTGTTGCACTATCTGAACAGCTTACAGAGTCTCTGGCGATCTGTTGAAGATGATATGCATGGGCTAAATTACGAAGTTTCTCGTTTCCACTTTTCTTAAAGCAGAAAGAGGCCTAAGAAGGTTTCATTTAATTTATTAACAAATTTATCACATAGTACCAATATTTCAAAAATGATTTTACCTGTTTGAAATTCTTTTTCTCTAAAAATTCTTTTCCCTCCTCTTCCCATTCTTCAGGGCTGCTTTCTTTAGCAAATAAGATGATTTCTTTCGCATCGTTACTTATTCTTATAAGTCCTTTTTCTTCCCAATATGTACAGATCGGATTGCCATATATAGGATTTTCATCAAATATCCAGACACTCCGCCGACCTCTGGTTACTGCAACGTAAAGTTGTTTGAGTTCAGAGCAAAGAATACAATGTTTTTCATGGGAGAAAACCGGAATTCCCGTTATGTTTTTGTCTAAAGTGGAGTAAATTATTCTCCACTTAAATGAAATAATGTTTAGTGAAATTTTTAAGATTATTTTTAAAATGAAGTATAGTACCTTTTCACATGCAGGTGAATCTGTAAAGAAGTTATACAGTATAACATCATTAAATTCCATTCCTTTACAATTAAACACTGTTTCCACCATTACTGCGTCTCCTATGAGGTTCTCAACTTGCTGCCTAGCTTCTTCGTCACGTACAATAATCATCTGCTTGGCTCCAAATTCGATATAGTTATTTATATGCTCTCCTTGCTTGTCCGTGGAAAAGTTATCAAATAGATCTTTAGCTTGAACATCACAAAAGACCACAGGTTTTGGACCACCAATCTCGCTACGTTCACATGATAATTTATCGATTGAATCAGGAAAAAAATGCCAAATAAGATCAATTACTGACGAAGCGAGTTTAAGGATTTGATTGTGGGAACGATAATTAATATTTAGCTCGAATTGTTTCGGGCTTATGGTGTTACATCGATTATAATTAGTTAGGGATCGCTCAAGCCGGCTAAGTTCCCAAGTATACATTAAGGAGCGTACGCCTAAATTAAAAATTGTGTTATTATAAGAGTAAAACGTTATTGTAGATTAATAAAAGTATATTATGTGTACTTTGGAATCGAAAGGAAGATCCTCGTGCAATGCACTGTGCTATGTCCCCAGCTAAAAAGATACCATTTGCGTTATCAAAGAGTTTTAGGATAAGCGCAATATCCACAATTTGGTTATCCTGACACTCGTCTATGTATATTTCATTAATTGGCGGACTACCAAATGCATGATTTTTGGCATAAAGCATGATAGCTATTGTTCTGTATATAAAAAAAAAAAAAAGATTGAAAAGTTTACAAAATTCCGTTCAATAATAAAGTAAATTTATCAAAATCCTTACCGGTCTGCTGAGTCATAATCACCATTTTGTGATTTCATTTCATTATATCGTAAAAATAAATCATAAATCTTGTCACGATTGTGACAAAATGTCGGATATCTCTTAATGCTAATAGCTCTATATTCCTCCCTTGATAAGCAGTCGATTTCAGGATCTGTACCCTTAAAAAAATTAAATTAAATTTTAAATAAACATTCTCTACTATAATATAAATTTAACTATTACAGTATTACTTACTCTTATGACAGAAAACTCAGAGAAGACCAGTTCGCAACTTGATTTCTGCTTATAAAGGTCACTCAAACGAGGCCAATACTTTATAGCAAAGACTCGGTAGTCCACAAAATGTGGATCATACGAATCAGAGATATTAAACGAAAAGCAGAACTCCTTTTCATTGTTAGTGCCAGATTTTTGTTGCTTAATCAGCTTTTGAATATCAATTTCATACGTTCCAAGAAGCATTTTTGAGAACTTTTCATAGGTAATGAACAAAGGAAAGTGTTCATCCGTCAACTGACGGAATGAATTGGGAATCATATTTTCATCTAGATATTGTTCCGTATATTCATTTTTGATTGTCGCTTTATTTCCCAGATTTGCAAGCATAACCGACTCTTGAAGCCGATAAAAATATTTCATTATCGAACGGCGTAGCTTACTACTCAAAGTAATAAAAATTTGCCTTTTTTTATTTGTCAGGTATGAAGCTATCAACCTAAACACAATGCTTGTAGTTTTTCCAGTTCCTAAACATTCAACGTACGGAAAGACATCAATGAAATTTATTATGTTAAATAACAAGCAAAATAATTACTAACCAGATCGGCCAATGATAATTGCCGATGTAGGATGGTTTATGAACTCGTACTCAGTTTTAGACAATTGAAATGTGAAATCAGAACCACCATTAGCAAGCGACTGAAAAAATGAATATACGGAACAATATCT